ATTGATTAATTTAGGAGAGGGTGGGGGAAAGCGGACACTTTAGACTTTTTTAAAATTATTCATAACTCAGAAATAAATTGATCAATTGAGCTCAGTTTAGGCTCGTCAGAAAGGGAAAGAATTGTTCTTTGTATTGACAGGCCGCCATCTGTCACCGTAAATCAGATACATTTCTCAATTTCCTGTCATTCAACTTATTCTGAATATAACTTAAAAATGCTCTTTGAAAAAATTAAGAATTTTTTCTACTTTATTTTGATTATTCATTCATAATTTTTCAAAACTTCTGCGTGATGCAGGACTCAATTGACAATTTCAGATGGCGAAAGATGAAAAAAAATTCGAGATAACGTTTGAAAGATAGTACACCCGGGCCTTAAATTGAATAAAATTTTTTTTCAACCAATTTTGTCATATTTTCAACATATCTGAATGTCATCAAGGTGAAAAATTTCCGGTAATTTTTCAACGGAGAAAAAACCCTCGAGAAAATTCTACACGAAAAAAAATTGTCTAGAAAAAACTAACGGGTGAATATTTCCATAAATCGTTTAACGGGAAAAAATCCGGTTAGTAACTTCATTTTGGCGTTCGCTTCTCCAATTGGTAAAAAACCATTGAAAAATTATTTCAACCGGATGTGAACGATTGAACACCGGAAGATCCTTCCACCCCGTGACTCAAATCATCTCCAGTGTCTCCAGTCGACTCCAAATAAAATACTTCCACAATGCCAATCGCCTCCTACCCGCTGCCTAAATGAACAATTTGCTTAAAATTGATCCCAAATGCGCGTGAAAACATTTTATTACATTTAATTTTCTCGTCGGACTCTCCGAAAAATGAAATAAAGTTGTGAACATGACTGACTCTCGTGCAACTCCGGGCGTCTCCGTGGATCCTTCCAACGAACCGCCTCGTGATTGGTCGATTGTTGAATTTAAACGTCCAAACGTCCGTTGCCAAAACATACCGAGTCCGAGTGCTCTCGGTTGGAAAGTTGTGGGAGCCACTAACCGGGTGCATCTCGCTTGTCTCCAACTCCAACAATTCCCCTCCCGTCGTACTGCCCCAGGATTTATTGTTGTTTAGCCCATTCCTTCGCTGGAGACAAGGATTTTTCGTATTTTATTACTGGAGTGAGAGAATATCGAGAGCACAATGTCGAAGGATGAGAAAGAGTCGATCATTCCGGACATCATCTACGACGACAAGTCCGGCAAGAGCTACATCAAGGGACGATTCTTCGGAAAGGTAATCCCAGGGGTGTTTGCGGGATCAAGGAAGTTCGTTTTATTGTTGGGACTTGGGTTTATTCCGGTGGAATGCGAGAGAATTGTTATTTTGGGGGATGCGGCTGGGGGCGGGGGAAAATGCGGTTTCTTCGAGGGGAGGTTGCGGCTGACTGGACGGAGCGATTTCTATGGGTCTGAGCTCATTTTGAAGGTTACGAAATGGTCTTGAAAATGAAACAAAAATTGGGAATTTTCACTCTGCCGATCTCGAGATATTGAGGGTTGTGGATGGGCAACTTCGTGATGCTCTTGTTGGAGGGATTTCTGGTTTTTGGAAGTGGGGATTTAGCCGGGGATTGAGTGGATTTGGGGAAAAATGTATAAGGAAGTTTTTTTAGGTCTTGAAGTGCTCCACGAAAAATGTTGTTTGACATTTTCCTCTAGAATGCCTCATTAAGGAGTTAATTAGTAATTTTGAATGAGCTAAAACATCACTGTAGCTGAGGAAATCTGAAACATCAAATGTTTTTTAATATCTCCTGACCCAATGATATAATTGAGATGAATTCAGCGACTTTTTGAAGATCGAAAGAAGATCTTGAAATTGAAAAAAAAGTTATTGAATTTCTCTCAGCCGATCTCGAGATATTGAGGGTTATAGATCAGGTTTATGATGCTCTTAGGAAAGTTCATTTTTTTGGAAATAGGGATTTATCTGGGGATTGAGTGGATTTGGGGAAAGATGTATCGGGAAGTTTTTTTCAGGTCTTGAAGTGCTCCACGAAAAATGTTATTTGACATTTTCCTCTAGAATGCGTCATTAAGCAGTTAATTAGTCATTTTGAATGAGCTAAATATCACCTGGAGCTAAATAAATCTAAAACATCAAATGTTTTTCAATATCTCTTGACCCAATGGTACGATTGAGATAAATTTGGCGACTTTTTGAAGATCGAAAGAAGATCTTGAAGATAAAAAAAATTATTGAATTTCTCTCAGCCGATCTTGAGATATTGAGGGTTATGGATGATCAGGTTTATGATGCTCTTAGGAAATTTCTGTTGTTTTTTTGGAAATGGGGATTTATCTCAGGATTACGTGGATTTAGGGAAAAATGTTTCTGAACATTTTTTTTAGATCTTGAAATCCTTCACAAAAAATGTTATTTGACATTTCCCTCTAGAATGCCTCTTTAACACGTTAATTAGTCATTTAGAAAGATTTGTTGGGGAAGTCAAATGTTTTTCATTGAATCTTCAATATCTCCTGTAATAAGTAATTCATCTCTTGACCTGTTGCTGTAATTTGAATAAATCAGGTGTCATTTTGAAGTCTCAGAAAAGATCTTGAAAGTGAAGATCAAAAATCAAATTTCTCGTCAATAAATCTCAAGATATTGAAGCTTGAACGAGGTTATTTCACACCTCAACAGTTTCTGAAACCCAATTATGTATTCTTTATTTTTACTCAGGGTGGATTCGCAAAATGCTACGAGATACGTGAGTCCAAGAGTCAGGCAGTCTACGCTGGTAAAATTGTAAATAAAAATATGATGACTAAGAACAGTCAGCGTGAGAAGATGACCCAGGAGATTGCCATTCATCGTAGCCTAAGTCACGTCAATGTCGTTGGATTCCATGGGTATTTCTTCGACGTACACAATATCTACATTATCCTCGAGTTGTGCAGAAAGAGGGTGAGGACACTATTCATGCCATACACTGAGAGAAAAACAAACATGTCAAACAAGTCTTGTTTGGCCCAATAAAATCGCTAGTTGAAAATTGCCAAAAAATAATTTGTTTGGTTCGAATTTGAAAGTCTCAAACATGAATAATTGTTCTGCTTTCGACAGCAACGAAATATTTGGCTCAAGAGGCGGATAATTCACACCAGACGGTGCCTTTTCAGGATAAAAATATCTCATATAGAGGAAAATTTATCAACAAATATTTGATCCCTAAGTTACAAGATTGCTATCATATCATTATTATTGTTTCATTTAAGGGTTCATTTCTTGTCTGTGACTATTAGACAGCCGAAACGAAAAACTACTATCCCTTGTTTCGCATAAAACAAAGATTTTTCGGGAGCAAAATACGTGTGGGAGTATCGAATAACGAAGGAGTAGTGCTAGAAATGACATTTCTTGCGTATACAGAGAATGCAAATTTTTTGAACTACTAAATCTATTTTTGCGACAAAAATTTTTCATTCCGGCGCACTCTGCATGTTTGGCACAAAAAAATCCTTTTTTGATAATTTAAAAAAAACTATTTTCTTGGCACAAGTAAGACTTGTTTGAGAACTTTGTCGTTTTTCTCTAAGTGTACACTCTTCATTATCATTTTCATCTCTCCTCTTACTTTCATTTTTATTCAAAAAAAGTTCCACGAAAACGAAGTCATTTTTTTCTTAATTATCTTTTTTTCTGAGAGGGATAAGAGGAAATGTCTCTAGACCTTTTTTATGGTTGAGAAAATTTACGCGGGAAAATATCTGCTGACATTCTCCCCTGGAATCAACGGTTGTTGGGACAATTAATAATTCAACAGAATGTGAATAAAAAAAAACACGAAAATGTCTTTTTTTTCTAAATATCTTTCAGTCTGAATGAAACGGGAGAAAATGTCTTGGGCCTTTTTTATAATTGAGAAAATTCCTAATGGAAAATATCTTTTGAACGATATATGCAATGACTTATTACGTTATTTTATAATATTTCATGTCTCATCGCCTCTAAAATCCCCTAATAAATTATTTTATTGAATTCCAGTCTATGATGGAGCTCCACAAACGCAGAAAAGCCCTGACAGAATGTGAAACTCGTTACTTTATGAAGCAAATCCTGGATGGTGTTGACTACCTCCACAAAAATCGCATCATCCATCGTGACTTAAAGCTGGGCAATCTCTTCCTGAATGATGAATTACAAGTGAAAATTGGTGACTTTGGATTGGCAACTAAACTGGAGCACGAGGGTGAAAGAAAAAAGTAAATATTCCTCTCCTACTTTAAGATGAAAACGATTATTCCCAAAAATCGTATTATGTAAATCTTCAATATCTCCTAGACAGACGAACGAATTCAGATGAATCAGCGCTAATCTTAAAGCCTGAAAAACAACCTTCAAAATGAAAAAAAAATCGTGAAATTTCACTCTGCCAATCTTCAGTTATTGACGATTAAATAGAGTTAACTCTGCCAATGTCCAGATATTGACGATTAAATAGAGTTAATTTTGCCCTTCGGTTCTCTAATCGTAAAAAAACCATTGAAAAATCATTTAAAGTAGGAAACAATAGTCTCCCGTTAGCCTAGAGTATTTCGACATAACAAATTATTCATTTCAAAAGTTTGTTAAACTTGGTTTATTTCAAACCTTGAAAAAAACCTGCAAAATGAAAAAACATCGTGAAATTTTACTCTCCCAATCTCCAGCTACTGACGATTGAATACAGTTAATTGTGCCCTTCGGTTCTCTAATTGTTGAAAACCCCCTGAAAAATCATTTCAAATAGTCCACCATTTATTTACAAGTTACTTCTCCACAACTTTAAGCCTCTCGATCTCAGTAAGCCATTTCCCCTCCATAAATTCCAGAACCCTCTGTGGCACCCCGAACTACATAGCCCCCGAGATCCTGACGAAAGTGGGTCACTCGTACGAAGTGGACGTCTGGAGTATCGGTTGCATAATGTACACCCTCCTGGTGGGGAAGCCCCCCTTCGAGACCTCGACCCTTCGCGAGACCTACGCCCGGATAAAGCAGGTCCAGTACAAGACCCCCACGAACATTGGTGCAACAGCGATCACGATGATCTCCAACACACTCCAGGGTAATCCAGCCAAGCGTCCCAGTGTGTCGAAGCTCCTGAAGGACCCCTTCATCACAACGGGCTTCCTCCCCCAGAGTCTCCCCCTGTCCTGCCTGACGATGGCCCCACGCCTGGACACCCTGGAGACGTACAACAGTCGCAAGCCCCTGTCGGAGATGAACCAGAACGAGGAGGGGCTCGAGTCACCCAAGTTCAGGGTGCCAAGCTCACCAGCACGCAAGGCCAAGCAGGAGGGTATGACTGAGGTGCAACGAGCTGGTCGTGACATCAAACGAATGTTAATTACCCTGAAGGAACAGGTGGGTGAAGGGATGAAATGGACAAAGCTGACCGGTCAATTTACCGTCATTTTACACGTAAATTACACATCACTGACCGAAGGCCAATTATTGGCCATTTTTGGTCAGACAAAGAGTAATTATCTGACCCTTGTGACCCTTAATGACTCTTGAGACCCTTCTTTGGACGCTTATTCTTACCCTTGTAACCCTTTAAGGGTAATCTGACCCTTGTGACCCTTATTTTGCTCCGTTACCCTTAATTTGACACTTGAGACCCTTATTCTGACCCTCGTGACCCTTATCCTGACTCTTGGGACCCTTCTTTGGACCCTTATTCTTACCCTGGTAACCCCTTAATTTGACACTTGAGACCCTTACTCTGACCCTTGTGACCCTTATCCTGACCCTCATGTCCCTTATTCTGGCCTTCATGACCCTTATTTTGACCCTCGTGAAAATAAAAAAAACAACCAATATCACATTCGAAAGAAAATCGACTCGGGACTTGAATTTCTAAAAAAATTCAGGAAGAAAATGAAAAAAAAAGACCGAGCATGAAAATGACGGTCAGATTAGGAGAGGTTGGGTAAAACGGACACTTTTGACTTTCTTAAAAATGTTAATAAGGGGTTGAAATGTTGATAAAATTCAATAATTTTTTTTTCAATACAAAGAACAATTCTTTCCCTTTATGACGGGCCTAATCTGAGGTCAATTGATCAATTTGTTTCTGAGTTATGAATAATTTTAAAAAAGTCTAAAGTGTCCGTTTTACCCCACCGTCTCCTACATCTAGATAGGCGATTGTTCAGCATACATAATCGACAGTGAGAAAAAATTACTGACAATTGGGTAAATTTACCGGTCACTTTCCATCACGAGGTATGCGTCAAGTCAGAAATGATCAGAAAACGCTAAATTGACGGCTGACGTGACTCGTGTAACAAATTACCATTATTTTGCATTCATAGGTGGGCGCTGTTCTGAGTTCAAAACCAGCTCGCAGGGATGTATCGTCAGCTGTTGAGATGACAGATCCAGCAGCCCAGCCCATCCTGTGGGTCAGCAAGTGGGTGGACTACTCGGACAAGTACGGATTTGGGTATCAACTCTGCGACGATGGGGTCGGGGTCATGTACAACGACGGCACAAGGCTCATCATGCTGGCCAACAAGTACAACATTCATTACATCAATAGAGAGGGATGCGAGGTGTACTACACGGTCAAGGACTATCCCCACACACTCGAGAAAAAGATGAAACTTATGAATTTCTTTCTTCAGTACATGAATGAACATCTCATGAAGGCTGGGGGGTCTGTCACTGTCAAACAGAGTGACTGCATGTCCAGGATACCGTACATGCACCAGTGGTTTCGCACTCAGACTGCTGTGGTCATGCAGTTGACTAATGGATCTGTTCAGGTGATGGGAATTTTTGGTGATTTACGCGGAGAGAAGAATGAACAAGTTCGCAAAGTCACTGGGTGATATTTATTAAAGAAGAAATTTATTTGAATTTGAGAGTCTCAAACGTGAATAATTGATTTGCTTTAAGAAACAGACGATCGTTCACAAGAGACGATGCCTTTTTAGGATGAAAATATCTCTTAGGCTTCTTTTTTTTTAAATCGAAAGATTTGAGACCACAAAAGAGAATTGAATGCCATTCTGTGAAACATGAATACACGAATCANGATGACAATATTCTAAGCATGGAATTATATTGATGAGATGAACAACAGATTAATTGAATTACCGTGTGAACCAACTAAAAATTGATAACAGTGTGGGCACGCACTTTTACCAGAGTATCAACAAACATTGAATTTCAGAAATTCACACTCTAAAGTGTGTTCTAGAAGGAATTGAATTGTAATTATGATTAAACTCTTATTCAGTGAGCATAGGAATTAGAACATGAGAAAATCATCTATTGTAATATGAAAATTTAACAGCTGATAAATTTGGATTTATGATTCTCATCGGTCGCATTGCTTTTTGCAGTGAGAATGATTATAAACTATTAATTAAAAAAAGGAATATCGAATCTGGCAAAAATGGCATAATGAAAGGGCATCAACAAAATTTTTGTAAAAATCTTCTTTCCACAGCAAATTTTCAGCTACAAAAAATCATAAGAAAAATTTATAAATAGAAATAGGCAAGAATGGAATAGAATTTCAATGGAATTATCTATTGAATTTCTTCACCCCCTGTCCTGCTGTCAAAATTCCGACATTATTCCCCAATTTTAAAAGTTATTTTCTTCAATTGCAGATAAATTTCTTGGATCACACGAAGATAATCATGTGTCCCCTGATGGCAGCTGTAACTTACATCGACAACGACAAAAACTTCAGGACTTATCGCTTCGAGACGATTCAGCAGAATGGTTGTAGTGCTGGTCTAGCCAAAAATCTTGAGTATGCGTATGAAAAACTCACTCTCATGATAACAAATCTCCAGACACGATAATTCCAGGACTTCTGTTCACTTCCCTGTTCATCTGTATGGTTTACAAGTATTCGATTATCCCTTCCCTCGTGAAAATCAAATTGGACACGTGCAGAGGGAGAAGGAGAAGATTTTCGTTACGACCAGACGAGTCCCGAGCCAACAAGTGCGAGATTATTTAATTTTAAACGTCAATCACTACTTTTAATGTCAATTACTCGTGAGCAAGAGAATTACTGCATCCCCACGGGTCTCAACCTCACGAGCCTCATTCCCCCTAATTAATCAATGATTAATCGTCTATAAGCAACTGTAAATATTAAACATAGATGATTAAACCATATTTTCGACTACGAAGTATCTTTTATATAAAAATTCAAGTGGATAACAGAATGAGTGGTGAGTGGTGCACGATTGAATGATTTAAATGGAATAGAAACTGTTAAAATGATAGAACTTTTAATGCGAATGTAATTCAATTAATTATCATTTTAAATTTGTTCATTAATGCTCGACTGATATGTCATGTACTTGTTCTTTTTATCTTGAGGAAATAAAGATTCTTTTCGTACATTTTATGATGATCTTATCGTTGTCATTTTGGGAGGCGTCTTCAATGAAACATCTTCGTTGCTCACTGAATAATTGAAATTATTAAATATTCGGAAGTATATTGCTAACTTATTAGCAAAAATAACTATACTATATGCAATACAAGAGCAATTTCCCACTTGTTTTGGTTTCAACTAACGATTTTGCTGGCCCAATCAAGACTTGTTTGAGAACTTCACTGGCAGAAAAAATTAATTTTATCAAGAGAATTTTATTAGAACCACCCATCATTTTATAATTGTTGTTAATTTTCAAATAAACATGATTTCATAGTAAATACCAGTTATCTCGTCTTCCGTCTCGAATTACAGAAACAAATGGAAAATTGCCGATGTATAGCATATAGTATAGCTTTTTTTGCTAATAAATTAACAATATGATTCCGAATGATTATGTTGCATTTTGTTTTCTTCCGTATATGATTCATATTTTACTTTATTTCATTAAATTGAATAAGTTTCTTTTCAATCAATTTTGTCAAATTTTCTCTTCAGTTGAATTTTATAATTATTATTATTCTTATTATTATTTTCTCTTATAGAACTTTTTCTTTTTATTTTCATTATTCTTTCACCACTCTCATTGCTCCCTTGTAACATTCATTTTATAAGCTACATTTCATGTTTTCATTGAGTTTGAAACATCACATTTGAAGAAACCATGAAAAAGCTCATTTTCGGGGAAACTGATGAAAAATTTGAAATTTCTGAAAATTATAATAAAAAAATTAAATCAACGGAAGCAGTTATCGTAACCATCGTTCAACTTCCACTTAAGGGCATCAATACAAACATTTCAAGCTACGATACAATTCATTCAAAGCCAGGAATCCAAAGATATCTCCGGAATTCTGATTTTCAAAAAAAAAAATTTTTGCAAATTTTCACAAAAATCACGTAACGATTACTGCTATCGTCTTCATCTTCGAACTCGGTCAAAAGGGCATCTCAACAAATTTTTCAAGCCGTTATTTAATGAATTTGAAACATTTTTTTTAATTATCGTAAAAAAACCGATTTTTGAAAAAATTCGAAAATTTTAAAAATGCGTTAATGAATTGAATTTTAATTAATGGCAGTAGATGGGGCTCAGTAAGACCTACATTTGAGAAAAAAAAAGATTGAATTCCATTGTTGAACTGGCGAATAATTGAAGACAAATTTTGTTACGTACATACGTACTGACGCGGTCTAAAAATTGCATTTCCGGACTTTTTGGATCATGATGGGTTGCGACAACACAAAAAATCTAAAACTTAAATTTCGTCGATTACAATGCTTCCATTCGGAAGCAAAAATACATAATTTTCACTAAATCTTAAGACCCCGTAGAACCGAATCTACGAACTCTCCTAGTAATTTCATATCCATAATTTTCACGAAGCCGAATTACCCACCCCTTCTCCACCCTCTCTTCCCCCCCCCC